CGAGACATGCGAACATGGCGCCCAAGCGACACAAGAAGCGCTGTGCAGCGGCAGCACTGGAAGACGACCCCATCATCACGGACGTGGACACAGACTCTGACCTTGAGCAACATGCAGTCAGATTACCCCCGGGACTTACACTAGACATGTTGCCGCCTGCAATACCCGAACAAACAGCCAGCAGCCTGGAACAAGAATGTCAGCGGCAATTATTCAACCAGTACATCGAGATGGATGTATTCCAAAGACTGGCCAAGGAGCTAGACTCCGATCCCCTCAGGCCTTCTACGCTATGCCGACGAGGACTGACGTCAAAATCCTTTACAGTTGGCGCGTTCTACCATGCAGGCACCGTTGGTATACGATGCAACACCAAAGAGCACCCATGGATTTCCGCACTTCTGGCCTACATGGTGCGGGCTTGTACGCACATGCCGTTCGCATCAGTCTCATTGCTTTGCAATGTGCGCATGACGGCGCACCGCGACAAGTACAACATGGAAGACACGGACAACATGGTCATTCCAGTGTCTAGGTTTCGGCAAGGGCAACTTTGGATCGAAGACGACCACGGACCAGATCTTTCCCCAGCCGGCAAACATCGTGGACGCAACCATGCAGTCAAATTACCAGGAGTACAATTCGACCCGTGCAAGCTCCACGCAACATGCCCGTGGAAACACGACCGCATCGTCCTCTCAGCGTACACAACCAAAAAGATCGGCGACCTCAAGAACCAAGACAAAAAGTACCTGAGAGCCTTAGGATTCAACTTATAGACCAAGTTGCTTGGTGATCTTTGTTCTTCTTAATTCATGCATACCACTGCATTCCAGGCACTCTCTTAAAAAGCTGCAGTTCGTGACTCATGCCTAAGAGACCTTGACAACAGGTTCGCAATAGGCTCAACCTTTTGCTGTCCTAGTAAATCTAACTCATGGCCCTCGCCGCGCGACGTCGACATACGTGCCATGCCAACCCACGGGGAGTTCTTCCGAGCCAACTCCAACTTCAGCATCTTCCCCTCAAAAACATCATGGACACGGTGATGGAAGCACACGTTTGGACAGCCGAATGCCGCGGTCCTCGCAGCAACACGAGCCTACAGAGAGACTACCGCCAGTACAACCAAGTCATCACCAACAAAGCAGAGTTTGTCATCTCGCTACATGATCGCGCCACTGAGCTCGCCATACGGACAGAACACCTATATGGACATGGCGTTCTCGAGATCTCCTATGACGTCGGGATCATCACCAAGCTAGCTGCCACGAGCAAGAGCAATTGGAGAAATTGCCACCAACTCTTACAGAATGAAGCCCTCACCACCAAAATTTGGGCTGACGTCGGGCAATACAGCAGAAAGATTGGCAGACATGTTCCAGGGGATGATCCACGAACAGCGGTGGACCTCAGACACTTCCTGCACAACAGACGCATGGCAACGTGGCTACACCATCATCTACCACTGCATCAGTTCCTAAAGATGCAAGTCAAGCTCATACTCAAAGCTTGAAGCAGACAGCGGAGCTCGGCAAAAACAGC